CGGCCCCCCCCTCGTGGGCCTCGTTCCGGCCGAGCGTGGAAAGGCCGACCGGCAGCTTCCCGCCGCCAGCAAGATGGGCTCCCGGTCAGGCCCGTGCCCCAGGGACCGTCGGAGCTGGCCCTCACCAGGCTTCTTGCACGCCGGCCTCCCTCTTCCCTTGGCAACTTGTCTGCAACCCTCTCCCCTCCTCTAACGGGCGAGCCCAGAAGCGGCAGCGAGGGTTGAAATCTGAGCCCGCGGGCAGGAGCTCCTGGCCGGGAGCGCGACTCCCGCCCTCGTCCCAGGGGATCCGCCCAGAACCGGGGCTCATCCGATCACCCCCCGCCCCCCGCCCTCATCCACACGCTACCTCCGCCCGTTTCTTCACTCGCTGGACTGGAAATACCTGTCTGCGCTGGCGAGCTCCCAAATCTTACCCAGGCGCCTCCCGCGGTGTGGGACTGCCAAGGCAGCTCCAGGCGGCCCCCAGCACCGACGACCCAGAGAAACAGGCCCCGAGGGGAGAAAAACACATCCTCTCGGGGGAGACTGAAAGGGGAGGCACGAAATAAAGGCTCGTTTACTGGACCCCGGCCGGGCGCCAGCCCGGGACTGCATGCTTTGCACCTCTCCGGAGCTCTGCACAGGTGCCGGGCGAAGCAACTAAACAGCTCCATTTGACGAATGAGAAAACCGACCAGCAACAACATGCAGTCCCTTACTCAAGAGTTCCCATCTCGGACATACGCAGCTGCATTCAGACCCACCTGGGACTGCATCGAACCCACCCCCTTGGAGACTCCACCCTCAAACAAAAAGATGTCTTGCATATCTGGTCCTCAGAGACGCCTCAGCTCGGCGCTGCTGGAAGGAGCAGGGTGATAATTTGCCTTCCCCACCAGGCTTAAGCAGTTCGGTCTTGGTCCTTCCCATCCCCTCTGCTCCCCGGAATCCTTCTCTGAAAACAACGTGCTGATCTTGCCCCAGTCCGAACTACTGCAGCTCTGACAAGGGCGGCAGGCATCCGGTGCATGGAGCAGTGAGCAAGGAAGAGACCCTCCACGAGGGTTCCATGCTCTGCTTCGGACCAGAACCCCGGCCACCTCCCCCAGGAGGCCATCTGCCCCATCCAGTCACATCCCATCTTTAATAAGCTCCCCTTGGACATCCTTCCGGGTGTACATGTCTGGGTGTGTTTTGCCACAGTCTCAGATGGGGACTGTGAAAGAGTCTCCTCTTCCCACTGAATGGTTAGGCATTAGATTCCCCCATAGCCAACCACTGTTCAAGTCCCGGACCCAGCGGCTTGAAAGTGACACCAGGCATGTATGCATCCGTACCCAAAATCCCAGAGGGAGGATAGAGGAGAAGGGATTGTGGCATAACCATTCCCCCTGGAGGGTGATGTCTCACTTTCCCCTCTCTCTGTCTCTGTCTCTGGGGAGTACACACACCTTATAGCAAAAACTAAAACGAAGCAAAAGAAAACAAAAGCTTAGTTAATATTAAGTGAGATTGAAAATGGTTTTCCATTTTTAAAACTTTATGACATGGCCTTCTTTTTCTGGAAGTATATTTTGTGAGTTTTATTATTATGGTCGTTTTTTGTCTGATTCAGATGTATCCGGCAGGTTTTTTGCTAAGAAAAGGAACTTAGCCTTATAACTTGTTTCCATGTCATGCCAGAAGTGAAAGGAGATAAAAATAGTTTCTGAGGTTCAAAACTAAAGATTTTCCTCTGGGTTGTCCTTGATTGATAGTCATTACTCTCTGGGGAAGTTTGTTTTACCGGCTAGGAGTCCACCGAAACGAAGCATCAGCCAGCCTGTGTATTTTCAACTTGCTGACAAGCGATCAGAAAATGTCGATTCCAGGAACCCTGCTTAACGTATACCTGGGAACTCTAGTCCCAGCGCCAGATCAGGAAGGCACGGTTTTTCAGGTATTGTCACTTAATGTGCCGTATGCAAGTTTTCCGTTCCAATGAGACACTAAGCCCCAGAATGGTATAGATCTTGTTTGGTTTGTCCTTGAATTCCCCTACAGCCATGAGTCTATCAGAGGACCCCAGCCCACCTCTCCAGCCTGGTTTTCACCTACTCTTTTGTTACAGTGTGTACGTGGCCTGACAGTCCCTAGAAATTACTGTGTTCTTTCATGGATCACGATCTAAGCCCTCGCTTCTTTTCTTCTCCCTTTTCCCTTTTTCTCTATTTTCTGGCCCCATTGCTGATCAAGGAACAAAATTCTGTTGACCTGAGTTATTTGCTGTGGACAACGTAGATGGTAATGTCTTCGTCTTGACTGATATGCCCTGTATTTGTGCTGGAAAAAGCAATGTTGTGCACTATAAAGATATATAGTGATTAAATATAGATCTAAAAAATAATAAAAGGAATTCTGTTGACCTGTTCTCTTTGGACACCTTCCCTGACTCCACCCACCATGCCCTATCTCCACCCCTCACACTTGTCACACTCAGTAATTGTATCTTTACGCGTTTTTGTCATGCTTGGTAATTGTATATATATTTATATATATATATTTTAAATAATTATTTATTTTTGGGAACCAGCAGTTAGCGTAATGGCTATGTCGCTGGACTCCCATGTAGTCAACTGCGGTTCGCGTCCCGGACCAGTGGCTTAAAACTCACGCCGGGCGCGTGTGCGTGCGTGCCCAAGATCCCGAGAGGAGAATGGAGGAGAAGGGATTGTG